GAATACGCGGGGCAGCCTGAGAACCACGCTCAGGAGTGGAGTAACTTGGTCGTGGATGCTCAGCGAGGGATTCTCCAGGGGTGCTGGTACCCTCCTGGAGTAGTTTGACATTTAATTCCGCTACCATGTTTATAGTTGGGGGGTGGGGGTGAGAGTTGGGCCTCCGGCCACCTGCACTCACCAGACGAAACTCGGAAGCAGAGCTTCCACTTCACGCTGGTATTCTGTGAGATCGTGGTACCACCTCGGTTTGAGCAGGCCCATACGTGCAACAACTAAATTTGGACTTAAAATTCTTTCAAATTCTTTATTGCATAACTTAATCTATTACATAGCATATTGTGGTTGGAGCTTCCTTTTAAGCAAAGGATTTGCTTGTACTAGGAAGCACCGCTCTTCCAAATAATGGGTATATAACATTAAGTTGAGGTGAAAAATAATAGAAAATTAGTTATTAAATTATAGAAGTATAAAATAATACAGGCAGATTTATTATTGTACGACTTTAGAGTTATCTCTAGTCTCTCTATAACAATTTTTTTTATCCGATGGACATAGACCCAACCAAAAAAAAAATTATTTAATAATAGATATATTAAATTAATTTCATAATTAAGACCATAAGCCTATTTTATGGGTACAAATAGGATCGGTCCGTCGTATACTTAGCGCGTATCGTCCATATACTTAGCGAAAACCCGCTAATAGCGGATTACCGATATAACTTTGTATTATTCGTTTTTTTGTAATCTATACCAGCGGGTGTGAGTATAGATAGTGATAGTGTGCGAGCGAGAGGTGAATAGAGGTGACACCATTTTCAACCCCATTGTTTAACTGCTCCGGTAGTAACATCGCACCCGTACCGTTACCTACAGACCTCCAGCTACCGTGTTGATGCTGAGCAGACTCATCATGGTGTGATCATCGTGAGATTTGTTCCCTACAAGTTCCGAAATCCTTCCGGAATCTATAGGGAACAGATTTTACCCGAACGCTCAATTACAAGGACATTGCGAATGTGCTAAGGAAGGGAAATCTAGCGAGCTGTCCCCAAGACCACTAGTTTAAATGAAAAGCGTAACGTGTAACTTTCCCTTCGCCCCTTAGGGAAAAAACTTAACGTTCCCCGTTAGGATTTGTCGTCGTGTCGTGTCGTGTCGTCGTGATATTCGTCGTCGTGATATTTTAGGCTTATTACCTCTGGAAAACTATTGTATCATTTATACCGCTATCTACGCAGAACATAAACTTTTCCTATCATTTCCTTAAATCGAAATTCTTAACTAATGGATTACGGTCCTTGTTTATAAAGCATAGTGCAAGTCTTTAACGCTTATTTCGATTTATTTATCTAATTACTTACTTATTTGAAAACAGATAAACGACTAGTGCAGTGCACATACAAATCATATTTCACGGTCAAAGAATACAAACTTGAGTCATCAGTTAGTTCATAAATTCAGGTGTGCTGGAATTATTTCAGTTCGAACTACAGTTTGATAAATGTGTGTGGGTGGTTTTAATCACCCGCACCTACACTAGAACTATTTCGACCTAAATCTGTAATATTTGTATTATATTCATTGGAAAATACAATATTTGTAAGGTGTGAATAGTTGATGCACCAATGATGTATATCTTACCTAGCTCCTTTAATCCTTAACTATACGATAACGAATAATTTTGAGACCTCATTTTGGGTAATGAGTTAAAATAATATAAAGGTGGACGTCCGGTAATTATATTATGCGGTTAGTTATGAAGTAATGATATCGAACGAAAGCTAGGAAAGTAGAATAAGAAGAACATAACAAAAATGTTTACTGGGCGGGCGCCGGGCCACGGGCGGCGAGACACGCGCGGGGGCGGGCGCGCAAAAGTAACCTAGAGAAGCCCGCCGACAGTGCGCGCCCGCCCCGGTCCGACACTCGACGTCGGCTCGTCCACGACACCACACTGCTAAACATTATACGACCAATTTTATAAACGGTAAGAACCGTGATACGCCATTGTTTTCCGCGAAAGTGCTTCAACACCCTGTTGCGTGAGTCTATCTTGTGTCATCGAAGTGTTTTTGTCTAGCTTTGCTGTTACGCAATCGTATCTCCCTCTCGTTCGGTGGTCAGGGTCTCTATGAATGGTTTGAAAATTCAATTTTCGCGAGTGATTGGCCGAGATAAGACAACATAACAGGGTAACACGTATATTCTATCCCCGGCACGTAAGCTTTTTTCAGTTTTTATTTCACAATAATGATTTTTTTGAGACATATACCACCAATGTGTTGCAAATTTGTACTGACTTTTCAATTATTTTATAATTTATATAACTATACCATTGGGCAGTTTAAAATAACCTAAAGTATTATCTAACTGAAATATTAGTCCACCTTTCTAAAAGTTCTAAAGAACTTTACGGGACTTTAAATATTTAATTTCGTCTAAAATTTGTAAATAATGTAATTAGGGTTCATGTAGCAATGGTGTCTTCTTTATCGTATTGGTATACAGCAAAAATGCAAGATACCACCTGTCGGCGTCAATACACTCGAGTTGGCGGAATGTCGTGAATCCGATACGACTCCGCGCGCTGCTATTTTAGGAGCACTCATCCCGCGCCAAATTTGCAATCCCGCCAATCGACGTGCCTTTTTACTTTCGTAACTATTTCACAATCGCGTATTTTTACTTTTTATAAAATTTAGTATCTATAATTCAAGCATTAGAAATGTTTTTATAACATTTTGGTCAAATATTATAAAATTTTTTGACATTGGCCTTTAATCTTGACCTATTTACAAGCATACAAAATCAATACTTAAATGAACTTTCATTTATACTTTTATTTTTCTGAGCTTCTTTGATTTTGGTATAATTACTTAAAACTATATTTTACTGAAACTGCTATTGGATTTGATACTTTCTTATATTTTTAATTCAAAAATATTTTTTTTCTTTCTTAGCTATAAACTTGAATTATAAATTATAATATTTTAGGCATTTTGTCAATAACAAAAGTTATTGTCGGTTGTGTTGACCTAAATATTTTTATTATCATTTACACAGGATCTTCAAAGTAACTCAAATAAAAAATTTGAAAAATCAATTATTAAAATCCACCTAAAAATAAAAAATAAAACCGCTCTTGAAATTATACTTAAACAACTACGACTGCTAAATATTAGAATCTTTATTTATATACTGTAATAATATGCAACAGAATTTCTATTAAAGAACCGATATGTAATATGGTTTATAAAATGTAATTTTTTTAAACCTTCAGACCAATCTAAATACGATGGAGGTATTTATTTCCATCTAAAAGTAATAAAAATGACGTTGCTGTTCCTCTAATTTTACCTGTGATGCAAATGTTTATAATACAGTCTCAGTTTGATGCGTAACACAGCGATATCTGTCATGATGTGGAAGTTAGCTGTAAACTGATTGACTGATTAATTTTGAAAAAATAATTTACTATAACAAGTTGCGTAATGTAGTTCAAATAAATATAAAATAAAAAATAACAGGAGCAGACACTACTAAAGTCTTTACACGAAAGATGGATGAGACCCGTAGCCGCGGTACCACAGCAACTTTCATGAAATTTGGCAAATTCTGTTAAGGGGAAATATAATCTCAAATGGCTTAGCAAGATCCTTCGTTATGCCGAAAAAAATTGCAGCATTAATTTTGAAATAAATATATAGTAAAGTTGAGGATTAATGTTAAGGATTATGTTAGACGAAAATACGATTTCGTAAAATTTTCTCGATAGAAAAAAAATCCAATGTTACCTCCAAAATAAACAATAAACCGCTGTTATTCATAAAATACTTTAAATATGATCATCAAAATTTGCATACTAACTCAACTAACTATAAATCAGTGCTTACGTTATTTACTTTTTTTAAAATACCATTATTTTCACTTTAAAAAGAAATTACCTAAACTATCGGCTTCTTGAAGCGTGATTCCTGCCGCCCGGTCACTTCGCTTCGGCCTTTGAAGGGGGAGGTTGTGTCGCTTACGATCAGAATACACATTACACAACAGAACGACGTAAAATTAAAATGGGAAATAACCGTAATAAAAATAAGAAGCGATTGGCTTAGCATTAAGAAACAGGCATAAATACGATAAACCTAATGAAATAAGTGTCTAACGACCTTTCTACTTACAGTATTAGTGATTACAAACTTGTCGGTACATAACATACGACGCGCGGGCAGATGGGGACGAAATTAGAATTTGAGCTGACTTACTATATCCCCTTAAATTTAATACTTTAGATTTCAGTTCGCATATTTACCGCCAGAAACAGAGTTTTAACATTTATTTGTTATAGTACAGTTTATAATTCAACTTTATCTTATTTATATGTTACGGTCAATTTCAACATATAGTTGGAACTATGTTTTCAATTGCTTCGTAAATATATCTACAATGAATATTAAACGCCATTATAACCTTAAAAATAGAAAAAAAATATTCTAGAAAAAGTTTGTAGAGACAAACATTTTTGCCGATTACATATTACGTAAAATTATAGTAGGACGCTGACTTATCCGTAGAAACTTGCTGCAAGGTCGAGACGAACTCTAAAATAGACGAGTGATCAGGCATTCATAAAACGGTCGTTTTCGAGTTTCTCCTCGGCAATAGAAACGTTGGCCAGCGTCCAAATCCACAACCATACGTCGCGGCGGCCAGCCATCAAGACAGCTATTTGCAGCCCCGGCACTAACTTTCAATACGTCATTGCTCTATTTACGAGGAGCAAGCGAGTTATTGTATTCAGCTTTGTTACCTAAATGAATATATAAATACAGCACACTGAACTCAAGGTTACCTTTCAAAAGTCGATAACAATATATCGATCGTAGTATCGATATTGCACTTCACTATGTCTTGGCTAAAGTTTTCTATAGCAACTGTTATCTTTTGCAGAACACGAGCACGACATAAACCATCAAAATGTTTAAAAGTCATTTAGAAATGATCGGCAGAAATGAAACGCCGTCGAAGAAGGCCAGATTTTGGCAATCTTACGTGCGGTCTCTAAAAGGTAAGGTTTTATTATGTTATGTGGTAACTGCTAATTACTTTTTCTTCGTTTCTTTAATTACTCTGGGTAGTCTCAGTACATATAACCAAATGCCATCTTTGTAGATACCTTAGAACAATTATTTTTAAAAGTTATTTATAAGAATTATGCAACTAAAACCCTAAAAAAATATATTAGAATTTATCTCCTTCCTAACTATCGCTTCTATAAATTAAGAGAATTTACTTCGAATGACAACCTTCCGCCATTACGTCGTCTTCAGTCCAGGCCCAGAGAACCATAGAAAAATAGATATGTAGCAAGCTGCAGAGAACTACGTCTTCACTCGATGTAGTGCATAACAAGCCGTGTAGATAGCGCTGTTACAGAATTATTTAATTTGTGAGATTTGTTTATAGCACAATATTAAATTTATAAAATGGAAATACCTAAAAAAAGGCAGGCACGCATGATTTTGTTCAAATTTAAACGTAACGTATTGCATGTTGCTTGTATTTTTCCTTTATTTCTTCGAAGAAAATCCAAATTCAAAAGGTAAAAAAACAACAGTATTTTAAAATCAATATATAGATACAAGATCAATAGGTGAATACTACCATTTTAGAGGTTTCCAAATAACTTTTCAACTTTAAGGACCTGCAAAGCAGACATAGTTCTCTGCAATTTTATTCGATGGCGCTGTTGTCAACGTCGCATAGGTTCCATACATTTTTAGGTTCTCTCTTTGCGTTCAACTTCACTTTCGATGAGCCGATGCTCCAGGTCGGATGTGCAGTTTACACAGCGAATGCTTCGCAAAGCACTCCTCTCCCTGGAGGTCAGGAAGTCGAGTGGCCTGATTGAGACCCTCCCATTGAGCTGAAGCATCCCATCGGCACCGGTTTCAAGGCTTCTTTTCCGATACTCCTACTACCAAGACGTAGTCCCAAATTCATGGAAGAAAGCATTGGTCCAATCGATCTCTAAAAAAGGCGACCGCTCAGACCCGTTTAAATACAGGCCTATCGCCATCACCTCCTTGCTCTCCTAAAAAATAGAGTCCATCATAAACTACCAACTCATGATGTATCTTGAGGATCACCAGCTGATTAGTGACCGCCAATGCGGTCTTTAGGAGCGGAGGCCTTCGATCGAGTCTGGCACAAAGCGCATCTTTTGAAGCTTCCTTCCTATGGATTTCCCGAGAATTGTGCAATTGGTTCATCAGTTTCTTTGCTGATTGGAGCATCAAGGTCGTAGTAGATGGTGAATGCTCTGATTACATGCCTATTAACGCTGGTGTTCCGCAAGGCTGCGTGCCATCAACAACGCTGTTTCTTCTGCATATCATTGATATGTTGCAAACTGGTAACATTTATTGCTATGTGGACGACAGCACTGGTGATGCCTTATACACCGTGTCAATATTTCTCGGGAAAACGTCGCCGAGTACCGAGAAAAACTTGTGTTTGAAGTTGAGTCTTTGCTGAACAAAGTCTCGGATTGGGGCCGACTAAGTCCACTTAGTCCAGTTCAATCTCCAGAAGATACAAGTTTGCGCGTTTACCGCTAAAAAGAACCCATTTGTCGTATCTCGGAAGGGAAGGCCAAATTGCCTCTGAAATTTTGGCGTGCTCAGCAGAGCGAGACAGTATTTCATGTCAGCATATCACTTGCAACTTTACAAAGCGTAGGTTCGGCCTCGCTTGCAACTTTACAAAGCGCAAGCTCGGCCTCTCATCTCTGTGCCGGGCACCGCAGCACAATGTGGTTCGAATGGTCGAGGATCGATTTCTGTCTGATCGGCTCAATTCACAATATCCGGTTCTGAGAGGTTAAAAACCTTACGTAATTGTGAAATGAATTTTGATCAATTACCGCGTACTATTGAATTAGTATAGGCGGGGAGAGGAAGAGGATGGTATTACGAACGCCCTTGTAACACACTTCTCCTCAGAAGTGCATCCTATTTTTTATAAATCCTTCAAAATTTCTTAACTGTATGCCAATTTGAAGCAATTTGTTGTCAAGTTTTCTTTAAAAGAAGAAGTGGAGAAGGTGGAAGAATACCATAGTCCGTCCTCAAAAATGCATTTTTGTATCGAAAATCCGGTCAAAAGTAGTTTTGAGAAACTTTGCAGTTAAAAGAACCAACTCGATTTTGGTAGAAATTAGTTTTTCCTGGGCTATACTAGCCTTTCCTAAGCCCTGCAGGATGAAACGGCGTGTTCGCGGCTTTATAGCGTATCATACAACAGTATCAAGTAGATTTTTCTGATCTAGTGATGCTAGACTGCTAAATAATAGTTTAGCTAGGAAAAAACTATTTAGTCTTAAAATCTCTTGGCATTAATTAATAATATTAAAACACTTTTTCTTACTAAATACTTCCGAACAAAAGTAATTTTAACTATAATCTTGGTCAAAATTAGTTTAAAATACTTTTATGTCAAAATTTCTTTTAAACAATATTTGTCGGTCGACACAGTAAAATATTGGTTTTGACTGGGAAATAGTTAAAACTGTCATATACATACATTTTATAACTAAAGCAATATCAGTTATTTTTAATTTTAACTGCAAAGTAAAAAATAAGAATTAATATTGAAATTTTATAAAACCCCAATACAACTTGCATTATGCAGAGTATGTACTATAATGTCAAACGAGCAAGAATAATAAAAAAAAATTGTAATATTGTTCTTAATTTTCACGAAATTTAGTTTCGATTTTGAATAATTAATCTAATCATTGCCATGATGAACCGACATTTTCAAAACACTATAGTTAAAGAACTTATGGCTTAAAGTTGTTTATACTTTCGGTTGCCACCAGTTGCTTAACGAATAGCAATGCTAATAATTGTTAGTGTGTGATATACTGGGCGGGTCTTCCCAAGAATGCGCTAATTGGCATGGATAACTTGAAATGGGTAAATGGCCATACGTCTGACACTGATAACCTAGAACTAGTGACGCTGTCAGTACATATAATATAGGTACGACCGCGTGGTCTAAAGGTCAAAGTAACTTGCTACTGAACCGCGGGTCCTTGATTCGAATCACAACTGAAACCAACAATGTTGCAAAAAGATAAATTGTCAACTTTTGCGTCAAGTTATGTGGGATGTAACAACATCCTAGCATTTTATTATTGAGATCAGTGCTTGGCGCTATAATGGACGACTAACACTGTCAGTTCAACTGATCATTGCAACTGATCAGTTCAAACTAGGACTGTTGATATTTTTTAAAATATCTGTATTTTCGATATATCGATAAATATACTTACATATAAAACTCCGATATTGATATATTTATAATTATCGATAAATCGAAAATCCGTTATTTTAAAAAATATCAACAATCCTAGTTTGAACTGATCAGTTGGAATGATCAGTTGAACTGACCGTGTGTGTCGTCCATAATATATATGTTATGGAACAAGTGAATTATCAGAGCATCATTTATAATGAGCGGACAATATGAATAATGTCAAGTCAAATAGGGCCTACCTACTCTACCTAGATGTAGGTTAACCTAATCTAACCTAACCGTGTTAATCATTGTTAAGACAATATATATATATATATATATATATATATATATATATATATATATATATATATAATATATTCAAATTTAATGATACTTATATTGGTCATTTTCAAAACGATCAGGACTTTATGAATAATGCCTTATTATGTAATCACTTGGTGCGTAACATATTTACAAAATTATTATGGTTAATATTAATAATTTTGTGAATATTGTTGGTTTTTCTGCTCCCCCTGGCATAGTCGAAAAACGGCCACGGGGAGTAAAAAGTATATACTCATACGCAGAGTTCAAGTTCTGTGTTCAAGTAGTATTTATTAATAATGTATAAATAAAAATTATTAGTTACACATATTATTATACGCTTAAAATATTTAACAGCGTTGCATATCGATTTTCATTGTAAAAATAACACTTACTAAATATTTTGAATTACAATTAAAACGCAGTATTTTACATACTTACTGCATAAATACCCTACCCAACATAAAAGTTATTTTTTTCTTTAAAAAATTCAAATGATGTATTTACTTTAGTAATTTACAAAAATATATTTTGTAAATTGAGTGTCTAAATATATAAAAAGAAGCATAACGAATAAAATTATGGACATAATTTAATTGATTAATAGGATCAGAAGACATCAGAGCTGAGGAGAGGTACAGGCCAACGCGCCGTAGTGTATTCCCCGAGCTTCTGTCTACCTACCCTTACTCCAAATCTATCTACGATGACCCCATGGGTGCCGCCGAAAGGATCACTGTTCCCGGATACCGCTACCTGCCGGTACACCGTGAAGTTTATGGATACTCGCCACGTCCCATCTACGCCCACAATTACCCAAGTTCCCTTGATCGGTACAGGCCAGGTCAGTACAGTTCTATACTACATTTGATAAAATGTAAATATGTTATAATATATGTAATCCATTACACTAACACATCAAATTACCAACAAATTTACAAGTGGAAAAAATCCTATCACCACTTAACAACATGTAGGCCTATTATTTGTTAATGAAATAAATACGGTACATGTATGTTCTAACTTTTAGTACATATATTTTCGTATAGAAAGAAAAATAAAAAAGTTGCGAATTCGTATTAGTGACGTTTGCCACTAAGAAAGTTTTACGAAACTAAAAACAAATCCGTTGTTAAAGTTTTTATTATTCAGTATTTTCAAAAAACTCCGGACAAGCACCTATACAAAGTTTTTTTAAGTTCTTTTTCCGAACCAATATTCGAAACACTGTTTCAGTCAGCCTTAGACATCTCCTCTACAGCCTGCTTGAAACTGACCGGTCATGAAAAATGTATCCCTTTCAGTAGATTTTTTATTTAAGAAAAATAAAGTTGCTAAATCAGGGCTCTAGGAAGCTTGACCAAAATACTTTTTTAACGTTGTGTCGTACAGAAAGTCCCTCGTTTAGGGCGCTTAGAGCGCGGGACGCGTTGTCATGATGAAGCAATAGCTCGCAGCAATAGCAGCAGTGCTTACTGCTTCTGGCGAGCATTTGCCATTATACCCTTCGACATTGATGCCACTTTGATTTCTTAAAGGAAACGTGTGCTTCTTAATCACTACAATTTGGTAGGCGTTAGTTCATTTTGAAACAGCTAAACCGCCGTAAATACAAGATTCATCATCTTTAATAAAGAATAATGTCGTAAACACGCCGAGACGAGACTGTTTTAAATTTAGTAATCATGTCACGGTACCATTTCACGCGAGCAGCTTCTAAACATCGGCAAGGTTATGTGGCACGTGCTCACCCGAAGGTGTTCGTGTAAAATCACGCTAACGCTTTGAGATCCAATCTGCAATATTATGTGCTGAATTTCTTCATAAAAATTTCACTTCAATTAAAATTTTCGCTTCGGCTCGCTTTCTTCCGTAACAACAGTACCCATTTCTTTCTTTATCTCTATATTAAATACATTTACTTGTATTTTCCTTGGTTATTTAAAGTAAATTAAAGTAAAATTACAGCCTATATACGTCCCACTGCTGGGCACAGGCCTTCCCTCATTTATGAGAGGGTTTTAGGGCAAGGAAGTGTCCACCGCGCTGCCCAAATGCGTGTTGGCGAACTTCACATGCCTTCGAAATAATTTTTCCTTATTCCTCAGACATGTAGGTTTCCTCACGATGTTTTCCTTCACCGCCGAGCACGTGGTAAATCAGCACTTAAAATTGCAATTAACAATTTCATTGGTGCCGGCGGGGATCGAACCCGGGTTACTCGCGTTCTGTTATATTTACAGCGGGCGTTAACCATCTGAGCTACCACGGCTCTTCTTAGTTATTTAGAAGACCACAAATTATATTTGTAGTCTATAAAACTATTCGTCCAGTTTTTGGCGACTTTTGAAATCGTAAAAAGTCATCGCGCGGTAATATTCCTGACGCGGATCCATTTTTCAACAAATTGTTTTAAATATCATGCATATTTTATTAATTTAGCTCGCTCGGGTAAGTTGAAATTGACATGTATCTATACTTACTGTAATGATCGTAATAGATCGTCGATACAAAAAAAAAACTTGTTTTTGTAAAACTTTCCGCGTGGCCTGTCATAATAAGTATCATTCACTTATGAATTAACGAGTATTAATTTAATGTAAAGCAATTGAACAAAAACAAAATTTGTTATTTTGCGCTAATATTGCTTAAAAAAAGCAATTTTTATACGGTCACATCATTTGCCGCAACTACTGTTTCAGCAATGCCTTAATATATATAGCAATTATATTACTGATAAATTATTTTGGAAGCCTAATGCTTTATTTAACAATAAACATAATTTCTCACAACGTTATGTCACCATATATGTACTTAAAGATTTCCTACAAAAATAGTAATATAATTTATAATCATACATTATAGGCAAGGAGTATATAATCACAACATTTAATTGTAGGTAGTGCAATAATTATTTGAATGAGACAGATAAATATTGGCATTTTATTCATTGTTTCAGCATCAAAAGTATCGGGAGCAGTTTAAAATATTATCATCTTAATTAATTAGTATACGCTTTTTTTTAAATAAAGATGATTTCTTAATTCACCTTCTGTTGAAAAAGTAAAATTAATTAAAGCTATAAAGTTAACGAACAACAACAGTTACAGAAAAAGATTTTCAGAAAATGTATTGCATTTTTAAATAATAAAAGCTTACGCAAATAAATCTGCCGTGAAACCTGTCAAAGGCTCGGAGATACATTTAGCAATAAATCGATGAATCGGTTAACATTTCTTAAATATTCACAAAAACACAAACATTAATGAATAAAGATTTAAAAGACAAATAAATAAAGATAACTGATGTAGTCGTATATAGACGTTTTGTCCGCTCAATATCATTTGTGTACATTTATTATATGTACTGTAAATTTTATAAAATGGTTATTATTAATGTTTATATTTTAACTATCCATATGTTGGCACCGATGTTTACTTTGTAATGCAAGTCACATCATTAATCATTTTTGCATGTATTAAATATAAATCACCTCTTGCACATAACATCATCTACACTTGCTTGTAAAGACAATGAATGTTATATCGACATCATCGATTGAATCTTCTAGCATTTGTCAGGTGGTCACAATTTTTAATTTTCATGTCAAACCCCTTTGTAATATATATTTAAACTTAGCATAAATAAACTATATTAACAAGACGTAATCGGAATGTGATAGAGGTGAGTTCTGTATAAGCGATTTCCTATAATAATTTTATTATGTATACCACTATGTTATGACTACAGATTTTGCTCTGCAATTTCTAACAAATTACTAATATGTATTGTATATTATCCACGATGAACTTACGATGATCTTTCCATTCTATTGCGAATATAATTTAAAATTTCTTACTTAAAGCGTTTTTAATATGTAGTTGAATGTGTTTTTTTAGAAAATTCTGATCTATTACTGATTATCTACTCGTTTATGTCTTTTTTGTAACTGAAAATATAATTAATGATATAATTATCGGATTACACTTAAAGTCCTTGTTAACGGATGAATCATGAAGTAGTATTATAGTTGTTTGAATAAGTTGAGTTTTCTGTAAAACGTACGAACCCACAAAATTAAATGTGAATTACCGTTAACAGTTTACCACGTGCCGAGGCGCATCCATCGTGGCGTCGACCCCTTCGATGCTCACAAAGCGTGGCAAGACCATTTGGACAGAATGGCTGCCATCGACCGGCTGTATCCTTCTCGTTACGGCCTTTACTTGAGGGACCGGGCATACCCTATCACCGATCTAACCGCACCCATTGTCGATCCTTTCAAGCCTAAAAGCCTAAAAGGCATCGAATATGAACCTGACTCTAAACCTCACTGGGGAACAGGTAAATTTTAATTAAACTGTATGCACGTACATTATAGTTTAAGTTAGGATAAGTCTCGCTGTGTTTCGTTCGTTCCTATTGACATAGAAAACTTGTGCCTTCCTCTGTGTCTGGGGTTGATGTTTTGTTGTTAGTAACGAACGAAAAACAGTGTTTTGCTGGTCCATGTTATAGGCTAAGTGCTGTATGCTTCCAATTGTGTAAGAAAATGTTAAGTATGAATTATTTATATCCATTCGGAACATATTGGACGTGGCAGATCACATGGATTCAGAATATTGTACAAACAACTGGAATCTAATTCACTATTGGTTTCAATGCTGATTGAATCTGATTATAGTGAATTGGTCCTCTAATAAATTTTTTTGTTTTATCCGAATATACACAAACCAACAATAAGAGTTATTGATTTATGAGTTAGCGAAGTATTATATGTTATATGTTTATTACTTTAAATGTTCATTGTTGAATTATTACTATGGTACTGTGTATCACGTGCAAAATTCGAAATTATATGTATATTTTTATAATTGGTTCACTACACCATAATATTCATAATTTGTTTATTGATACCTCTATTTTTATCTAGATTTAATATAAAAATTATTGTTATACATATTATATACATATTTAATACAAAACTGCTATCACATTATTGAACAGTACAAACTAAAATGAAAACTGCATTAACTAACCCAATTCATATTTTTTATATTAAAATATAAAAGACCAATCCGTGTTTTGATTTAGTAGCTTAGTACCTTTCTTTATAAATTTACTGATTTCAAAGCGTATGTATATCCATTTCAAGATGCACAAAAAAAGTCATAGCACTCGTCATAAGATTTTCGCCCATATTTCAGGATGTGCATGATCAGCCATTGTAAATATGCAAGACCACTAGGTACACTGATGTTTGAAATATTTAAGTTGTATTTTTTTATTAAGAACACTACATTTTCGTGTAATTAATACGGTTGGAGATTTTATCCCTATAATTATTGTGTGTAATCGTGATTGAACCCCATTTTGAGTCCCTGTTTGTGAGGGCGTAGTATTGATTGTGAGACTTGCCGTGAAGGAGCGTGGCCAGCGAGGATATCGGACGCGTTCAAAAAGGATCCATTTTTCGCTGAAGCCGAAAAATGGGCAGACTTTGATCGCGGACTCCGAGGGAAGTCCCCGACACCAGTGAAGCCAAGAATAAGCCCGCCTCGTGATTGCGAGGTTGCTTTTGATGCCGATGGTAAGGGCAACAGACCCCTATGCACTCTGTATCTTCGTCACGACCCCTCTTCGTAAATAATTTCTCATAAATCTCTTTCAACGAACTCGTTTCGATGTTATCATTGATAGAATCAAGCCGATCCGAATGTAACTTAAAACTGTTTGCAGATTATGAGTTCAAAGTAATCATTTAAAACTGAAGTAGTTAGTCGGTGTTTAGTATAATGACTTTTATTTTTATGAAAATAACTTACAGTGAATAAAGAACTGAAACATATTTATTCACGCCCCTACGTTATGCTTCTCCAGTTTTCGCCTATGAGTGTATGTGTTCCCTCTCTATAAATATTAATGTCAAGTTTGGAATAATTAATATAAACTAAAAAGGATATTTTGAATTCCTGTCTATACAGATAAAATAACCTAAACAACTAACGCATTAGAATTATAACTTTAGCTACAGTTTGTATAGGGATATTAGCACTAATACATAATCAAGAATTAACTGAATGACGTTGCGTCAATTGAGATGCGTAATTTAAACTAACGTTTGTACAATGTGAATGTTTGAGTGGTGGTGGTTGCACACTGCACATTAACACAGATTAACGTTGACAGAGAGGACGATGACGAAATACAGTGTGACATTTGTGTCTGTTGTGCCGGCACTAATTGTTGTGGCGTGTAGGTGCTCCGTTGTACAACGCTGGCGGCCTGAGGCGTCCCTGGGCTGACATATTCAACCCGAGAGCGTCACTGCCAATCTCAGCGATAACTCGGGACCCCTTCTGGTACGACTGGCCGTTGCTGAAACCGATGGCTAGATGGGATCGCAGCCCGTCCTACATCCGTGACTCGTACCTGTCGCCAGTCAAACGCACCTTCCTCTGGGACAAGCATCCGATCAGGCCCTTAGGTTAGTGGGTCGCTGTAAATACGCTGTTTTACAGCTTTTCTTGTTCAAGCTGTACAAATTGGCCTTAAAACGTGTATTGGATTCGAAATTTAACTATCACAGTTTCATTACAGCTATCAAACTTCTAACAGTTTCTTTGCGAAAGAAGATTTTAATAACTTTCTAATGATATATCTCTGATCACGGCAGATCTTATGGTGGCAGACGCATTCACAGTTGGTGATCTAAGCGAGACTTTGCCCTTCATCCGTAGTCTATAAAATATGAACATCCGATATCTACTCAACAGTAGGTATACGCGCCAGAATAATTAAATGGATTATTTTATTCGTTGATATTTTTACCACTTTCCATATACATAGTGCAATACTTAGAATATTCCGTGATGTTAATTGACCCGTAAGGTATGACTAATTATACAATTTACATGAAGTTATATTCACATTTTCATATATTAACTTAATTATCCTTCGTACACTTCAATGAAACTAGTTTATACGAATTTCATTGCGTTTATCAACTTATTTTATAGAAATCCGTAAGAACTAGTTTCATTCAAATTTTTGGTGTTCACCTAAACATAAGAAATCATTAGATATCCTTCGCACGATACATTATTTACGTTGTGTAGGGATATAGTATAAAGTACTCTTTGAATAGCTACCACCTACGTCTAATTCTCAACACTCCATGGTTTCACTGGTAGAGAATGCCTACGTGAATTATTAAGTCTGGCGTTTGTATCATTGCTTATAGGGGATTATAATAAAGATTGGATATAAATAAATACAGCTTTAAGTATATTTTCGTACTTTTTTGCAAAAATTTTGTCTTCAATTTGTATTATACATCTACTTTTTCATGTTTATCTGCACGTAATATACTCATATAATATATCCTCAGTGCCATTTCGTTTGTCTAGTACCTAATTTATGCTAGATGCATAGAAATGCAGGTCCATTTCACTTTTTAACAATAGATAAATGACTTGTTGTAAATAATTATATTACTTACTTTATTTATTTTTTGATGTTTTATTTATATTGTGATCGCAATACCTACTGAAGCCATAGGATCTCCAACCCATAGAGATTCGTTTTTAACATTGATTTATTTAACGATTAAAATAATTAAAATCTGAAAATTATACAACAAAACTGGGATTGGATTTAGAATCGTTTGGCAGGAATTTGGAGGAATAAGTATAACAATACCACTCGCATCAAAAGATAATGCACAGTTTACGAGAAAAACTATTATAACCTAAAAATTGGTAAAGCATAGAAAAATGAACGCAATTTTACTGTGAAATCTGGATAGCACAAAATAGCAGCTTTATACTGCTGTGTTTCGTATGGTAAGTGTAAAGATCCGGAGACCCTATTTTACTGGAAACGAGGCATTCCATCTTAGTCCTCAGGGGTGACAACGCATCTGCGTTTGGATTCTTAATCAAGGATAAATGTAGATGTCTATGGGTCACAGCATCCACGTACCATCAGGTGGACTGTGTGCTCGTTTGACACCATTATTCTATTAAAAGCACACATAATTTGGTGTAAGTACGGCAAGGACTTAAGACTATATCAAAGACTATTTATTGTGTGTATTTTTATTCTTCTGTGCTCTATACTCTCACAGTAAATTATGTTTACAAACAAAAAAGAAATCTTTATTACATACTTTACACCAAGAAATCCTTTCAGTGGAGTTAAGGTTGGGAGTGGCAGTGGTAACAAAGCGCAGCGCCGCTTCCGTCACAGCCTTCGTAGTTATTTTTCTTTTACCGCCCCGTAATACTTGAGCACCCAGAAATCCTATAGTTATGATAGGGTTACACACCCGCTCCCTCCCTGCACCTCCCCGCCAGAGAGAGATAAATGTTATCATTTTGATGTCTCTATCTCTATCTATGAGATTTTCTTTTTAATTTTTCTCAGGAACGGTGTATTTACCTTTTCATGGAAGTGGTGTCAGGGTGTAGGGGACACTACCCTCTCCCCTCTACCCCCACTCTCCCTCCCCCCTGCCGACAAACGATTCTAAATTTCTTTTTTACTTTACCTAGGTATTGCTGCATGAAAATCATGGCACTCTTGCCAAATAATGCGTTTTTGTTTTCAGCCGCCGCTTACTAAAGGGCCTGCCTTCGCACACAATATGTAAAGTTCCGTATTATCTACGTATTTTGACGTTGTCACTCTGACTATGTTATATTTTAATATAACACCAGGCAGCATCCAACAATTTTTATAAATGTGTCTGTATTCACTTTCGGTTAAAATCACAAAGACTGTGTGACATAGTCACTGCCAGACGAACAAGTTTGTTACGAACAATTGTTTTATTATTTATTTTTATGTATACAAACATTAAAAAAATTATAAAATCAGATGAAACACTCTTTTATTTATTTTATTCGTTATTATTCTTCGTTATACTCGTATTCACTTGTTCTTATTTATTAAATTATTACCGTATTCAAAGATACAATACTGTATTTTTATAGACATAAAATAGGATATTAGTATATATGAAATCGTTTAACTCGAAATCTATTTGATCGATCGCCATGAAAATTGCTATATATATTATGTATTTTCAATGGGTTTATATTTATAAACTAAAAAAATGAAAAACCAAATTAGTAACAAACAAAATTTAAAATATTTTATTTTATTTGATTTTATATATTATATTAAATTGCGCTATGAAAAATGTTCCTGAACACAACCTATGATATTAACTGGCAGGAATATATAATCTGCTGGGTTCAGCTAGTACTATATAGACAGGCAATACCCAAGTGCAATCTCAATACCTTATCTAATCTCGAAGCGATTCACCTTATTTTTTAAATTATCATAATTTCAGTCTGGATATACTCACCACATCAAATTAGTTTTCGATGTGTCGCCGCGCTCCGTAGCCATAACTTTCCAGAATAAATTCCAGGATTCTTTTTAGCAATATATACAATTCAGTCGGTGTGTTGGACATTGTTTTCTGGTTGGAGGTCGTTTTATGGGTGCTCCACTAAATGCGAAACCCATCGTTGGATGCTTTTCATGGATGTGAAACTCAAGAATTCTCCAAACAGCTTCCATTTCGATCTCCTTTTGTTTGTTTTCAACAGAGGCAGTGATCTGATCCAATACTTTGTTGATATATTCGCAGGTATATTAAATTGATTAAACTGATTTACAATACTCAAAACATGTGTGCGTTAAAACTTCTGCTCAGTACATGGGAATATGAAAGTACCCATTTGTTATCAACAGCCACCATAATTACTTTACTGCGCTAAAGTTTTGTTATAAAAATGGTAACTGTGAGTTATCCTTCAACAGTTCGAAACAAATCGACATTAAGTCTGCATAATTTGCATAATTTGACTATGTAATATCAAATATATAACTCCATGCAGTATTCGGCAAGTTTTATAATTATGGGTTTGTTATTATTTCGGTTAATATCACAACGACTGTGAGACATAGTCACTGCCAAATGAACAAGTTTGATATTTCACGCTGGTATTCTGTGAGAATACCAGCGTGAAATAAAACTAGTAGTTTAATGCTGCTGTATTTCGTATGGTGAGTGTAGAGAACCGGAGACCTTTTTTACTGGAAACGAGGCATTCCATCTTAGTCCTCACGGGTGACAACGTATCTGCATTTTGTTTTGTAATTGAAGATACATGTAGATGTCTATGGGCCGTAACAAACAGTTACCATCAGGTGGACTGTGTGCTCGTTTGTCAACCTATCTTATAAAAAAAAGAAGAATACATGATTTCTGCTGAAGAATCGGAGTAACAACAAGAGCCCAGTGGATCAGTAAGCTGAAGTGGCAACGGACTAGCCATATAGGAGAACCGACAACCGATGGTGAAGGATGGTACGAGTAGCAGCCTAATACCGTAAGCCGATGCATACAGGTCCTACAGGACCGTGTTTTGTAACGTCTTGAGGGAAGTAAACGTACAGCAGACTTATTAAGGGTTGTTAAGATGGTGATAATGATGAATTGAAGTAAACAATACGGTATGAGAATATTATTGATAGAATGAAGTTTACCGAAATTATGCACCAATCAAAGGCATGCAAAAGCCTTACTTACGTCCTTTTTTCAATCAATCAATATTTTTAATCACCATATTATGTTGTTTTGAAAATATAATATTTATTAGTTGTAGGTGTGTATTTTTATAGGTAACCATTATATGCAAAATAAAATTAAAACATTCGACTTAACATTTAGTAAGATGTTTGTGTAACGTTTTTTATATTTGCACGAATATAGTACGTAAGGGTAACATGGTCATCCGGTTTATATGGGTACTTTCTTATAACTCAAAAACTATACAGCCTTGTAGTTTTTGAGTTATAAGAAAGTGATAGACTGAGCTCTTCAATAGAGCTTTCGTAACATAGATGACTCATTCATTAGTCAATCAAATATTAAAGGATCAAAAGAGCACTGCTTAATCGACGCCATTTTGATAGTTAACATTATAGTCGATTTTAATGTTGTGTAGTGAAGTTAGTTTTTTTTGGGTTTATTTTTCGAAGTCTTTCTAGTTATTGCCAAAGCTTGTTTGCTATTTTGTTTTTAATATATTACTTATAGAATACGACTGTGTTTTTGTCTCTGTCGTCCTCCTAGTTTTTGTTTCATATGGCGACAAAGCTTGAGGTGACCATGTTACCGTCACGTACCTTATACACTTTTAGGGTGCATTGCAGCATGTATGGTCGCGGAGAGACTGAAGTGTTTGACATTCCGATTTTAGGTCCAGCAGTACGCAGTAGTTACTCAGATAATATATTCCAGCCACCAGGTCACTCTGGACGTCAAATACTTTAGTATCACAATCTAATCGATTTTCGAGTCATTATAGTTGCAAAATACTTCTCGTATCCCATCCCTTACGTAAATTTCGGTAACAATCACTCAAGATTATTATTGAAAAATGTAATTATGACAAGCAACCGTTATTCTAATTCATTCATTCATTCATTCATTGTAGCCTATGAAAAGTCCACAGCTAAACAAAGGCTCCATAAATTGCTTCATTGGGGGAATATATAGTTGTCAAGCTTGGCAGGCGGATTCGCAACTGCAGTTTTTTATTATTTTAAGCGATAACGCTTCTTAACGATAACGAGAAATGCTTCTCTTCAGTCATCTCTTGCTTCATGTTCCCTCTGTCGCCTCTTACGATGCCCACGGGATAATAAGGGATAGTAGATTCTTTTATAACCACTGTCAGAGAATAAATAATAGTACTACGTGCCACCACTACAAGGCACCCTCATTCTATTATTATATTTATGTAACAGTTGTTACGCTTGGCAGTAAAAAAAACTACATAGTACATATTGCTCCACGCCTCCGGTGTAGCACTATCGTGAAGGACGGAATAATTTAGCTTCTGAAGGACTTTTAGTATCGGTTTTCGAGACTTTCAGAAGTTCTGCTTTAATTCCATCCTCGCCGTGTAGTGGCGGTTGAGAATATCCACTACCCCATATCTTCCCGTGGGTGTCGTAAGAGGCGACAGACGGAGACAGACAGGGGATGGGCAGCAGCATCTTCCTGATAACAGCAATGATATAATAAAAAAACTGCGGTTGCCAACCCGCTCGCCAAGCGCGGCAACTATGGCAAACATTCCATAAGAATAACGCCAGCACGGCGTGGTAATCTAATGCTCCTTAGAGCTCTCAAAAATAATATAAGGCTGTGTACCCTGTGGGTTTCATTAGGTCTGTTACCTTAAAGTCACTCGGAATTAGGGGCTTGCCCAAACCCAATGGAAAAGAACGGTAGGTTAGAAGTTGTCTCTTCCAGTGGGGGGCCGTCAAGGGGGCGGTCACTGATATGGCTGCAATATACATGGTAGAGCCATGCTGCAGTTATATTAGTAGCATAGTTGTAGCAGGAATGGGTCGGCTCGACCGAGGAAGGACCACGCTCTCACAGAACACCAGCGTAAAATAGTAGCTTAATGCTGCTATGTTTCGTATGGTGAATGTAGAGAACCGGAGACACTTTTTACTGGAAACGAGGTATTCCATCTTAGTCCTCACGGGTGACAACGCATCTGTATGTACGGATTAGTAAGCTGAAGTGGCAATGGGCCGGCTATATAGCTCGAAGAACCGATAACCGATGGGGAAGAAATGTTCTCGGGTGGCAGCCTCGTACCGGTAGGCGTAGTGTAGGACGGCCCCCACTAGATGGAGTGACGACCTGGTAAGATATGCAGGAAGTCGATGGATGCAGGTGGGTCAGGATCGTGCTTTGTAGCATTACTTGGGGGAGGCCTATGTTCGGCAGTGGACTTGTGAAGGGCTGTAATGATGATGATGATGATAGATGTCTATGGGCCACAGCAACCACTTACCATCAGGTGGACAGTGTGCTCACTTGTCACCCTATCTTATAAAAAAAATTATTTCGAAAGCTTTCCCGTGGACTTGCCGATATGCAAGAAATGTAGATCACCATAGAATTTAAGATTTTTTTTGTTTTGTTTGCTATAACGCATTATTAAATAGAAAGCACAATTCAAATGAGTTTTATTTTACGACCCACACGATTAAGTATTAACATTTTTTAATATAAAATAAGGGTGACAAACGGGCACACAGTCCACCAGATGGAAAGTGGATGCTGTGTTGTGTTGTGGTTCTCTATACTCACCATACGAAACTGCTGCATTAAGCTACTATTTTACTGGTGTTCTGTGAGAGTGTGGTTCTTACACGGTTGGGCTGACCAATTCGTGCTACAACTATATGTATCAATTATAAGGTGACTGGAGTAAGTACCCCCGGTCGAGCCGACCGACTCGTGAACATAATGTTGCGCGCCACAGTTGATGGCACTAGCGCCATCTATTGTCGAACAGAGGAACTAAGCTTTATAGAATGCCCCACACTCGAACTTTCTGCGCCTGGTCGGTCGGGGCCCGTATTTGTATATGGAAGAAGAGCCCTATTTAAAGCCGTTGAAAGTCGCGATCGGGGCAGTATTGAATTTGGCGATACAAGCGAAGCTTCGGAGCGAAATAAAGTGAATCAGTGTGATTAATTATACGTGTCTTTTAAGTTTTAATTGGTGTTTGGTA